TCTGGGTCTCTCAATTACAATTTTGTTATAAATGGCTTGCTAATGATGCTTGGGGTACATAGGTTAATAGGGGGCATCCTAGCCAGGGCTGGGTAATTGAATGCTTTCTATTTTGGGACCAGTTATCTGATCTCTCACGGTGGTACCAGTTCCCACAATTACAGTCTGCACCCATAGGGCACAGCATTGAGCCCAGGCTGGGAGGCAATCTCACTGAAATATATAGCAGAGTGCTTTGGTTTAGCACCTGCATGGAGTGCCAAGGGTCCTGACTAATCTGAGTCGACTGGCACCAAAATGTGGACGTTCCAGACAGGTCAAGTGCAAGGGAAAGGCGTTGCTGATTTTTTAAGGAAGAACAACCCGAGTGTTAGGTTTCTCTGCGCGACTGTTCTCAGGATAATTTGTGGCATATGGAAAAGGCCAATTCGGGAGCACCAACGGCAATCCATTTTCCTTTCAACACAGCGACATTGATTCGATTTTTCTTCACCGAGTTATGTTAGTTAATAGTTACACATATTGTAAAGATCCTTTTGAGAGAATATGTAATGTGCATCCTTTTTTTGCACTTGGATGAATCTCAGCCCTGACTCCTGCCTTCCAGGTCCTACAGAGTCTGGCTCCTGCCTCCTCGTGCATCTGGTTCCTACCCCTCGCCTGCCCCAAAGCCCAGGAGTCTGCCCTCCTGGTGGTCCCCCCGGGCTTTGACCCCCGGCTTCTCACCTTTACAGGGTCCTTCTGTCTCCCAGTCCCACGTGGCTGGCTTCCTTCTTGGCATTCAGGTGTCCCGTCCCCACTGGCCTTCCCTGGACATCCTGCTGCTAGACCCCCTTTACTGTTAGGCTGCAAGTCTCAGCGGGGGTGGAGGTCAGCGCACAGAAAAGCCCCTGATGACAAAGAATTATCTAGCCCTAGTGCTGCACTGCGGACACCTGTTTTAATGGTTTCATTGTATGCTCCCTTTGTATTTTCTTCATGGCCTTTATCGCTGTGGTTTGTCGCATGTATTGTCTGTTACCCTGTAGCCTCTAACTCCTGGCAGGATATAATCTCCCAGTGGCGAAAGGCCTCCCTGTCGCCGTCACTTCTGTACCACTCGCGTCCACACAAGGCTTGGTCTGGAAGCCTCAAAGCTGCCGGCCCTGCACGTACAAGGGCCCAGCCGTGTATGGTATATGGTCATATGACTTCTTAATCAACATCATCAAGGGGTATTTTGCATACTATCTACTGGCCATCTGTTTTGGTAAAACTTGTAAGATAGCTTTGTATTTTCTTTCAAAGAGGGTCCCCCGGATGTTTCCCCCGTGCCACCAACTCCAACTCCCTAGGCACCAGCTGGGTGCCCTGCAATTCAATTCAATTCCAGTAATAACTATTTGGAGCCCACACGAACCCCACAAATTAAGGGTTCCGTCCCCCAAGACTGCCCCCACTTCAGATGCCAGTTGCAAATACTGGGTCCCTAGGCTACCCAACTTCCGTTTGACCTGGCCACAAATTCAGAGGTTCCCACAGGGCCCTCCTTAGTTCTGATAATTCACTAGAACAACGCAGATAATTCACGAAAGCACCTTATTTACCATTACCAGTTTGTTATAGAGGAAGCAACTCAGGAATAGCCAGACCAAACACAAGCAGAGGCCAAGATGTGGGGGGAGGAGGTGTGGAGCTTTCCTGCCTTCCTCTCTGGACGAGCCACCCTGCCAGCATCTCCACCAACTAGAAGGCTCTCTGAATCCTGGCAGTTGGGGGCTTTCATGGAGGCTTCATTGCACAGGCAGGACTAATAAATCACTGCTCCTTGATGATTAACTCCGTCTCCTCCCTGGAGGTTGAGGAAGTGGGGCCCTAAGTTCCAGCCTTCTAACTGGCTAATCAAGGCTCGGGCATTCTGGTGACCAGCCCCATCCTGAAGCTCCCTGGGGCTTCATTCAGGAGTCACCTCATTAGCATAAGCTCAGGTGTGGCTGAAGGGTAAAAGGTGCTCCTGTCACCTCTTGGGAAATTCCAAGCGTTTTAGAAGCCGTGTGCCAGGAACTGGGGGCAAAGACCACATGTGTCGTTTTTATTCTGTTGCCCCCCGCCCCCATCTCGTATTGGCTTTGGGTCTCCACACCTCCACGGCTTCTTCAGCAGTGCCTGGTACACAGTCACCCTTCAGAAGGGATCCGCGGGCCAAAAGGACAGACAGGTGAATGAGCTGTTGCCCTAGTTCTCTGCGCCCTGTTTTATGTGGAAGAAGGAAGACGGAGTAGCGGTCTGGCTGGAGGGGGCAGGCTGCCCAGGGGTACAGATGCCTGGGCTCACCGTGTCCCAGAGCCTCCCTGTTGAGACTGTCCGCTTCCCCGACTACCCAGACCCGTTTACTTACTTTGCTTGTAATAAGAAACCTTTGTTTGTGTTTGGGAATATTGTGCCCATTCTGTTGGGTCCGGATTTTGTGCATTCTTGCCTTAGAGCTTCAAAGACCATGTTTTTAAAAAAATCTAATTAGACTTTCTGCAGCCAGAGACACAGAAGGGTGCGAACACGCTCCCCGCTGGGATCCTGGTTGGAGCCTTCTTTTAACCCGCTTGTCCTTGTCTTCAACATGTAAAAAAATGTTTTCTTGGCTTAGTGATTGGATTTCCAAGTAGGGGATCTTGCCCTTTTGTTTCTTTGGTTTGGAAGAATTGTTTGTACCAAGTGATGGGTCAAGGGTGGTTGAGCAAATGGGAGGCAGAGATGTGAGCCTTGAGGCTCCTGTCACGTCCCTCCAACTGCTCTCAGAGATGAGAGGGCGGCAGAGCCCTGGATCTTGGCCTGGTTCCAGGGCACTTTGCCTCCGCCCCCGCCCACACCACCCCGACTCCTCTGCTCTTCCCAGAACTGCCCTGACCCCGATGTCAGCCTTCACTAACTAGCATTTCTCAAGCTGGTTCCTTGCGACATTAGTGAAAATTCCATGGCTGGTTATGTTTTGGAAATTTTGTGTATTCTATTCCTCTCCTGTGGATTCACAGGGCTCAGTAGAGTATTAAAGGCTTCAGAAAGTCCTGTTGGTAAAGAAGTCTGTTTGATTTTGTCCATCTTCCCTTTCCTCCGAGTAATTTAAGCACAAAGCAGGTACTGACAACGTGCAGAGCACTCAGTGGAAGACATTTTAGGAAACGTTGCTTGGCTATTGCTCGGTCCACATATTTTGATAAGGTGTGGGCCTTTGGGTTCAAGGGAAGGGAAGGTTTCTGCCGGTGAGTTCTCCATGTTCAGCCTTCCAGCCAATACAAGGCGGCTTTAATGGAGGGTTAGTTAATCCCGCCTTGACAGGTAGGATTGTTTGAGGGCTGTATGTGTGTGTGCTGGGTCGGAAGGGAGTCCACTGCCCTTTGGGGTAATTCATTCTCAAGAGCTAAGGAAAAATAACGTGCTAGGATTTCCCATCTTTGATTCCACTTCAAATGTTCTTGGCCTTCACTGACCATAAAAAGTCCTAATAGTAATGGTCACCGATGACACGTCTTCATGTTGCCTACCTTTTAGGGGAGGCCAACTATGTGTAGGCATTCTGCAAACTCTTGGTGTGCGTTAACTAACTTAGTACTTGCAACAAGCTCGTAAGGGAGATACTCTTACCCTGATTTTACTAGGGAGGGTGGCAAAGCTTGGACAGGTCACGTGGCTTACTCAGGGCCACACAGCTAGTTCACGGCGGTCTACCATTATTGGAAACTAAGCCTCCTTTTTTGCTCTTTTTACAACATCTACAAAGAAGTGTCATTTGGGCAACAATCTATTTTATAACCACAGAATTCTGTTAATGGATTTTTAAGAATCATGTTTTCCCCAGGATGATGAAAGTGAAAAATGATTTCAGGGTCTGAGTGTTATGTTACTCAGGAGAATACTGCACGTTGGATTTAATTGCTTAATAACTTAAAGTCAAATGGTTTTTTTTTTTTTTTATATGATACACTCTACTGAAGGAGAGAATCATTTCAGTGTTTCTAAATTTTCATTAACTTTTGCCTCCTAAACTGGTAATAAAGGTTAGATCTCGGTAAGAGACTCTTGGTGCTATTGGGAGAGAAAAAAAAAACATATTATCTCTGCATGCGCCTCTTCCTAACCAGGCTGCTTCTCGGGTATTTTGTTGATTTAATAGCACGGATATGTCCAAACAGTCACTGACCCTGCATGCATCCGAGAATGACTGTGAACTCCTGAGATTTGGGGATCTGGTACTTGGCTGTGGTGTGGCTGGGACACTAGAGGATATATGCGGAGCCACATTTGGTGGCAGAGCTTGAACCCCAAAGCCAAGCACTGAGGACCTGAAACGTCTCCTTTTATCCTGTGTGATTTTCTATGACTTCCTTGCGACGGAGCAGACTGGCTGAAACACAGGAGTGGAAAAGAGCTTCTCTCCTCGGAAGATGATCCCAGGGTTGCTGCGATCATCGCATAAGGTACTAACACCTCTTTTCTCTGTTGTTTAGGTGGTCTGACATTTTAAAGGTTCTGCTCCCCCTGAAGAGGAAACATTTGAAGGGAACACGAGATGTAAAAGAAGAAATCTTCACGGGCGTCTCCAAGGATGCAATGCCAACCCATCCCTCACTGAGACCATGATCTCTTCTCATCCCTTGGAAGTTTCCGTGTTCTCCAGCGAGAATTCTTCCCCTTCATCTTGTGCCATGGGAAAAACCTGAAGGGCAGGCAGAATTGTTCCCAGACTTGGGGAGTTTTCTGAGGTTTCAGTGGCTCTTACGGGACATGACAATTGGAGATCACTTCTTTTTGTTGTCTTTCAGAGTCGAACCAAAGAAGGCACTTCCTCATTGTCTAGTGCTTTGGCTCCTGCTCGTTTTTATATCTGTTTCCGTTGCTTGTGCCTTAAAACCATCTTACGTAACCAGAAGACATCCTTAAAAAGTGTTCCGGCGCGACTTGCATGCATCTGGGCTCCGTAGGGGCTCTCCCATGGCTCTGTGGGCCAGCAGTCCAAGGGCATTACCATGAGGCACTGCATTAATTGCTGCATACAGCTGTTGCCCAACAACGAGCACAAACAGCAGGTTGGCTGCGGAGGAGGCCCCCTTCACAGTCACCTGGAGTGCCCCGCGTGCAAAGGAGAGAACAAAATTGTGCTTCGTGTGGACGGTAAGCAGATGAACTTGCTTGCTGTTCTCGAGGTGAGGGCTGAGGGCAGTGAGAGCTGGGGCAGGTTTCTGCGCTTCAAGAAGGGGAAGCGATGTAGCCTGGTTTTTGGATTGATGATCATGACCTTGGTGATGGCATCTTACATCCTTTCTGGGGCCCACCAAGAGCTTCTGATCTCCTCACCTTTCCATTATGGAGCCTTCCCCAGCAATCCCAGCTTGATGGACGGTGAAAACCCGAGCGACACGAAAGAGCATCATCACCAACCCTCTGTAAATAATATTTCGTACGTGAAAGACTACCCAGGCATTAAATTAATTATCAACAGCATCACAGCCAGGATAGAGTTCACAACCAGGCAGCTCCCAGACATAGAAGATCTCAAGAAGCAGGAATTGCACGTGAGTAGCCTTGTGCTAATCTCCATGGATTGATTGAGTTTTTAAAATAGATGCTTCCTTTTCTGTGGCCATCTTTGGGAACACAGGAAGAAAAATGACGGGAAAAAAATGTTCTCATGTGTAACAAGGATAATTTGACGGCCTCACAGGTCAGAGTGCACTGGGAGAGGGCTGTCCGTTCACGATGTTTACACCAAGGAGGAAACTCGAAGTACTGAAGGGCGAAGCTAGAAATACCAGAAGGGCCTCCCCTTCTCACAATTTCATCGCAGGACTTGAAACGCGGCCATGGTGGTTCAAGTTGCTTTTGTAGATCACCAGAATCCTGTGTCTATTGTGTCCTAATTAGTATTTTTGTCCCTAATGGTCACTTAAATACACAACTAGTAAAAAGATTCCACCTGTGAAATTTAATTAGATTGCTGTGCGCGCGTGTGAGAGGAAAGAAAGATAAATCATGGTGGAATGGATTTTGAGTAAGCTTTTATCTTCGTTCTCTCCAAATTCTAGTTTTATTTTGGTCTGAGGAGAAAACGTGGCCTTGGCTATTTACCAAGTTTTGCTTTATTTTCGTGCTTAGCCATTGTCACATAACAGTTGAAACGCGAACACTGTAGTGAGGGTTAGGGCATGATCGCAACGCGGTTAGAACGCGTTCTTGCTAATTGTGCCCCCTCCGTGTGTCTCTCCCTTTTTTTCTTTTTCGTTGCAGATGTTTTCGGTAATCCCCAATAAATTTCTTCCAAATAGCAAGAGCCCCTGCTGGTACGAGGAGTTCACGGGTAGGAACACCACTGACCCCTACCTGACCAACTCCTACGTGCTCTACTCCAAGCGCTTCCGCTCCACCTTCGACGCCCTGCGCAAGGCCTTCTGGGGCCACCTGTCCCACGCCAGCGGGAAGCACTTCCGCCTCCGCTGCCTGCCGCGCTTCTACATCATCGGGCAGCCCAAGTGTGGCACCACCGACCTCTACGACCGCCTCCGGCTGCACCCGGAAGTCAAGTTCTCCGCCATCAAGGAGCCCCACTGGTGGACCCGGAAGCGCTTTGGTGAGCGCCAGCTGCCGCCGCGAGGGGAGGGGCCTGCGCCTGCGCGCTTCTTCCTGTCCCCGCCTCCCGCCTTCCTCCTAAAGTGGTTTCCGGCTCCCGTCCCAGGTCCCCTGATACTAGGCCCCGCCAGGGAGGGTGGGCAGGTCCCCGAGTCGCAGGGAGCAGACAGTTCGCTAATCCAGGGCCGCCCCCACTCAAACCTCAAGTGGGGCTGGAACCCAGCTCCCAGTTACCAAGGGAGCATTTATTGAGTGTTGGCTGTATACAGGGCAAGGGGAAGGGTGCAGAGTCAGCAGCTGCTCTTCTTCTGAAGAGCTTTGGTACACCTGCCAGCGGTGAGTGGTTAAATGCCAGGTGGGCGTATGTCTGGGGCTGTCTGCCCCCAGCTCTGTACCGTTCCTGCCAGAGCTCCTCCCGCCCCCAACACCCCCCTGCCTGGGGAACACTACAAAGGCTGCCACGCTGGGTGAAGTTTGAGCTTCTGGCTGGCTTCTCCCAGGACCGTGAACACGTCATCTAGCTGCTTCAGGCCTAACTTGCTCTGACCTGCTCCATCTGTCTGCCTCAAGTTCAGAATGAACATCACCTCGAGATAATTCCGGGCGACCTTGCTCGCAGCACCCCTTTGCCACAGGGGTGACCGTGGATACCGCCCCCACCCAGCCGGAGCCACCCTGCAGCCCTCATGTCACTGTTTCCTCTTAACCTTTTCCCTTCTGCCAGGAGATGTTTGGTCCCTTTGACAAAGGTCAGAGCTCGGGTGGGACTCGAGGGCGTGTTTCAGGCAAAGGACCCAGGTTGCTTAGAAGGGAATCTTTAAAGTTTTCCTTAGTAGAACCTGAGTTTCGACCAAGTCCTGTTTGTGTCCTGACAAATTGACTTCATACTTTTGATGTCCTTCCCGGAGCGGATGAACAGGAGCGTAAATGTGTCTTTTGTGGTTTGGCAGCAGCAGCTATGGGAGCCACGGTTTCACATAGGGTGATCTCCCTGCACAGCTCACCGTTTGCCCTGATGAAACCCAGCTTCCCACTGGCAGGGAAGAGGGAAGCCCAGGAACATGCTTCTGGAATCCGATCCCCAGGGTCTCCTTGAACCTCTTGCTGTTTTGCACACGGGTGTTTTCTCTCCGCTTTCCATTAACCTTGATGGTTGTGGTTTGGGACAGTGTGTTAACATATTTCCACGTGAAACTTACCCGCTTTTAAGGCAAGGGGCACAGTTGGGCTGCATGGGTCAGTGCCAGAATGACTCGTGGGTTCCACCGAGCGTTTGTCCCGGGACTGTTGAGGCAGACAGACAAGCTGCCTGATCCCACAGGCCAGAAACAGAAACTCAGATAAAAAACTCCCTTTTCTGTCTGATACAGCACGTGCCTTCTGGATGCCATCGCTGCTCAGCCACTTTAGGGCCCGTCTGGCACACGTGGTGACCAGCCCCCAAGTCTCTGGCCCTCCAAGCAGATGCTTTTATAGATCTCGAACAGGCGGGCTGTCCTTGAAGCTGCCACTTGGGGCTGAATGGTGGCCTTCCGCTCCCTGAAGCGTGCACGGATTAAAGAGGACAGCCAGTTTGCAGGCGTCCTTCTTGTGAGCCCCCTCCTGCAGCTTATTCCGGTGGGCCCCGGGCCTTCATATCCCTCTCTGGTTACTTCCCAGGAGGCCACCGTCTGGCCGTTGACAGTTTCGTTCTCAGTAACGCGGGCTTCTTGGTTCTCGTAGGAATCGTCCGCCTGAGAGATGGGCTTCGGGACCGCTACCCCGTGGAAGATTACCTGGACCTCTTTGACCTGGCCGCACACCAGATTCATCAAGGACTGCAGGCCAGCTCTGCAGAGGAACAGAGCAGGATGACTAGGATCATTATCGGTACGGCTTCTGGGCAGCTCCCACCGGGGCCACTCCCGCCCCGGGCTGGGCCCCCATTCCCCCCGGGCCCCTTCTGCCCTGACGCTGGCCCAGCTTTTGCTCTGCCCGTCGGGAACATTTGCCTGACGCCGGCCACCTCTGTTGAAGGTGCACTTCCCGACCTGGCCGTCGGTCTCACCCCTCCGTGAAACGTTGACGTCGCTTACGCGATTTCTGTAAAGCAGCGACGTTTAGATTTTTTTTTTTTAACTTTTATTTATTTTTGAGACAGAGAGAGACAGAGCATGAACAGAGGAGGGGCAGAGAGAGAGAGGGAGACACAGAATCTGAAACGGGCTCCAGGCTCTGAGCTGTCAGCACAGAGCCCGACGCGGGGCTCGAACTCACGGAC